TCGAACACTCGAAACACTCGAACACACGACACAACCGAAACACACGAAACACTCGAAACACTCGAACACACGACACAACCGAAACACACGAAACACACGAAACACTCGAAACACTCGAACACACGACACAACCGAAACATACGAAACACACGAAACACTCGAAACACTCGAAACACTCGGAACACTCGAAACACACGACACAACCGAAACACACGAAACACTCGAAACACACGAAACACTCGAAACACTCGGAACACTCGAAACACACGACACAACCGAAACACTCGAAACACTCGAAACACACGAAACACTCGAAACACTCGGAACACTCGAAACACACGACACAACCGAAACACACGAAACACACGAAACACTCGAAACACTCGAACACTCGACACAACCGAAACACACGAAACACACGAAACACTCGAAACACATGAAACACTCGAAACACTCGAAACACTCGACACAACCGAAACACACGAAACACACGACACAACCGAAACACACGACACAACCGAAACACACGAAACACACGAAACACTCGGAACACTCGGAACACTCGAAACACACGACACAACCGAAACACACGACACAACCGAAACACACGACACACACTCGCCTGTTAGAGGAATGCTCGGAGCTTCGGAAGCGTTATCAGGATCTGTGACGCCGCTATATCAGGACAGGAATGTCATTTCACTGTTATCTCACTGTTGTCTCAGCGTGATGATGGACGAGGACGAGCGCCGAGGATAAACGAGTCCGAGAGACGTCCAGTCAGTGTTTGATCGAGGTCTTCCCTCACACTGAGACAGATTCCTTTCACCTGACTAACCCGAGCCACAGTCGACTCAAAGATTATCCTTCCTTAGGGACTGTGTGTGTGAGTGTGTGTGCTGCAGTTCAGTTCTTCTTTCACCTAACTAACCCGAGCCACAGTCTTCCTTCCAGATTATCCTTCCAGGGACTGTGTGTGTGAGTGTGTGCTGCAGTTCAGTTCTTCTTTCACCTGACTAACCCAACTCAAAGATTATTCTTCTGCAACTGTATGACTGCGGACCATAAAAGAAGATATTTAGAAGAATGTTCATGCTGCTCTTTTCAATACAATCACAACATTAGGGACTGTGAGTGTGTGTGTGTGTTTGTTTGTGTGTGCTGCAGTTCAGTTCTTCTGAAGTCATTTGAAAGCTTTGAATTAAAGCTGTTGTTCACTCAGACATGTACCACTGCAGGATCATTTGCCATGTTTCCATACGCCTTTTTGCACAGTTCTGTTATCAGCAAAGTCAAAATGTGCACACAAAACGTTTCCACCAGCTGGCTGTTTCTGACAAAGTGCTGTGTGTAATAAAGTGTTTTGGTGTATCGCGAGATAACCTTCCCTTGAGTGATTTACTGTACGCCGTGATGCATTTGCCATGAGAACTGTGGTGACAGAATAACCTCGTACACATCAGTCCGTTCCTTACATGAAGCTATTAAACCTTCAGATCACTTGGAATTCAGTGCATTATTAATATAGATATTTTTATGTTCATTTTATTGGGTTTCTGTTCTTTTTGTTTTGAATGGAAAAGAACATTAACAACTTACCTTTTGATGCTCCATATTAAGTTATATTTTAACAAACATGTATTTATGTTTAAGCTATGCCTCATTTATCTGCTGTTTGTTGCCGTAGATGGTGTGAGAAACGCCCGGTTCTGGAAAACCCCTGACCTTCGCAAACACATCCTCTGAGAATTACCAGAGTAACTTTGTTTTAAATTGACAGATATTATACACAAACAAAATCTTATGAATTATTGCCCAGCCTCTGTTGGAGGCGTACGATCTATAATGTTCTGATGATTGAAGAGTTACACGACTGCAGGTATAATCCCCCAACAGCATCAGTGAACCCCTGCATCTGCACTCGTCTTCTCCTCGCCGGCCTGGACACGCACACGTGAAATCTGGACACGCACACGTGATGTCTGGACAAGCACACGTGACATCTGGACACGCACACGTGACGTCTGGACATGCACACGTGACATCAGGACACGCACACGTGACATCAGGACACGCACACGTGACATCTGGACACGCACACGTGACGTCTGGACACGCACATGTGACATCTGGACACGCACACGTGACATCTGGACACGCACACGTGACATCAGCACGCACACGTAACATCAGGACACGGACACGTGACATCTGGACACGCACACGTGACATCTGGACACGCACACGTGACATCAGGACACGCACACGTGACATCAGGACGCACACGTGACATCAGGACACGCACACGTGACATCTGGACACGCACACGTGACATCTGGACACGCACACGTGACATCAGGACACGCACACGTGACATCTGGAAACGCACACGTTACATCAGGACACGCACACGTGACGTCTGGACACGCACACGTGACATCTGGACACGCACACGTATCAGGACACGCACACGTGACGTCTGGACACGCACACGTGACCTCTGGACGCATACGTGACATCTGGATGCATACGTGACATCTGGACACGCACACGTGACACCTGGACACGCACTCGTGACACCTGGACACGCACACGTGACATCTGGACACGCACACGTGACATCTGGACACGCACACCTGACATCAGGACACGCACACGTGACATCTGGACACGCACACGTTACATCAGGACACGCACACTTGACGTCTGGACACGCACACGTGACATCTGGACACGCACACGTATCAGGACACGCACACGTGACGTCTGGACACGCACACGTGACATCTGGACAAGCACACGTGACATCTGGACGCATACGTGACATCTGGATGCATACGTGACATCTGGACACGCACACGTGACACCTGGACACGCACACGTGACACCTGGACACGCACTCGTGACACCTGGACACGCACACGTGACATCTGGACACGCACACGTGACATCTGGACGCATACGTGACATCTGGACACATACGTGACATCTGGACACGCACACGTGACATCTGGATACGCACACGTGACATCTGGACACGCACACGTGACGTCTGGACGCACACGTGACGTCTGGACGCACACGTGACGTCTGGACACGCACACGTGATGTCTGGACACGCACACGTGACGTTTGGACACGCACACGTGACGTGACATCTGGACACGCACACGTGACATCTGGACACGCATACGTGACATCTGGACACGCATACGTGACGTCTGAACACGCACACGTGACATTTGGACACCCACACGTGACATCTGGACACGCACACGTGACATTTGGACACCCACACGTGACATCTGGACATGCACACGTGACGTCTGGACACGCACACGTGACGTCTGGACGCATACGTGACGTCTGGACGCATACGTGACGTCTGGACGCATACGTGACATCTGGACGCGAACGTGACGTCTGGACGCATACGTGACATCTGGAAGCATACGTGACATCTGGACGCGTACGTGACGTCTGGACGCATACGTGACGTCTGGACGCATACGTGACATCTGGACACGCACACGTGACGTCTGGACACGCACACGTGACGTCTGGACACGCACTCGTGACGTCTGGACACGCACCCGTGACGTCTGGACACGCACACGTGTTGTCTGGACGCACACGTGACGTCTGGACACGCACGCGTGACATCTGGACACGCACACGTGACACCTGGACACGCACACGTGACATCTGGACACGCACACGTGACATCTGGACACGCACACGTGACACCTGGACACGCACACGTGACGTCTGGACGCATACGTGACATCTGGACGCATGCGTGACATCTGGACACGCACACGTGACATCTGGACGCATACGTGACATCTGGACACGCACACGTGACATCTGGACACGCACACGTGACGTCTGGACACGCACACGTGACGTCTGGACGCACACGTGACGTCTGGACACACACGTGACGTCTGGACACACACACGTGACATCTGGACACACACACGTGACATCTGGACACGCACACGTGACGTCTGGACACATACGTGACATCTGGACGCATACGTGAGATCTGGACACGCACACGTGACATCTGGACACGCACACGTGACATCTGGACACGCACACGTGACATCAGAGCTTGATGAAGGACTTCACATGATTCTCTGACATCATGATTTATGATGATTGAACATGATGTTTGCAGAAGAATCGGAGAATCATGATGATTGTGTTCATAATGTTCATCTGTCAATCACTCACTCTTAAATAATATGAGTATTTAACTCTCGAAAAAAGACAGTTTCAGTCATCGCTCAACTGCTTCTTCTCTTTTTTTTTTATGTAATTAAGACCCCAAAACATATTTGGAGAAGTCAAACTTTCTTCATTTTTTAAAATTTCTTTCTTTCTTTCTTTCTTTCTTTCTTTCTTTAAAATGTAATATTTATCTTTGTATTATATCAATCCAAGGTTTAACAAAGGTTATTACTTTTTATTTTAAATAATATTAATAATGTAGGGAAGATACTAGCTATAAAAAATAATAATAGGTCTATTAACATTTTACTCTTATATTACTCAGCATGAGTTTATTCCATTTATTATTTTAGTTTATTAATTTACTTTGTATAGATTAATAACCTCAGATTAACTAAAAAAAAACCTAGCATGAATTTACATCTAAAATAGACAAAAAAAACAAAAAAAAAACATCTGAGTTTGTTTTGAGAAAAGCTTCTGCAGGATTTGTTTGCAAATAACACTTGGTTTAATATTGTATCAACTGATGCAATGATATCCATAAACATTTAAGACACTTTTGTGTCCTTTGGGTTTTTATATATATATATATATGTGTATATCTCTCATGCTTTGGCTTTTGTAGGTAACAACACAACTAAACTCTAATTATTCTTATGAAGCACAAGCTGATGTGCCAGACTCGCACTAGATTTCAGTCACAGAATCTCATCCGAAGAGGAGTCACAGATGATGTGTGTTAGGTGAGGATTTAACTCTGAATGAGTGTGTGTGGAGTGTGTGGAGTTGAGGAGGAGCTGGAGTCGTATTTCAGGGTCCGAACTGAGACTGCCTTTGTTCACGTGGAGCTGCTCTCGATCAGTCCGACAGCAGAGAGAGAGAGTGTGTGTGTGTGTGTGATCACAGTCTCTAACGGTACCCGAGACACGAACACCTCCTGGACCACGGACATGGCTCGTGCACGCGCCTCAGTGCTCAGGTGACTGACCTGTCCTGTGCATGTGCTTCATATTTCATTCAATTCATTCTGAGAATCCTCTGGCCTCAGCTCATCTTCATCTTTATTTATGATCAGCAGAGTCTGGAGCTGGAGGATCTTCTTCATCATCTTCATCTTCATCACTGTCAGCTGTCCTCCTGCACGCGCATTCTCCCTTCACCCAGGTATGGCACAGCATCAATAACTCGGGTTCATGTGTAACACTAATGTATAAGCTGCAGAAATACAGTTAGTGATGGGCATGTCCGATTAGCGAACGACTCGTTCTCTTGAGTCGGATCTTCTGACTGAATCTGTCGAGCCGGTTCGCAGTGCCGATCTGAACGGCTGAAGCGGAGAATGAATCGTGTCTGTTGAATCTGTCCTTTAAGAAGCCAAACGCTGGTTTTCTGGCACATCATTGTGCTTAACAAGATGATTAGGAAGAGCACAGGGACATTTGATGGGGCGAAAAGATAATTACTTTAATAGCAGAAATGTTAATGTACTGGAGATGTGTTTAAGAGTTGATTGAATCTGACCTACCATCGAAATTTTATTACGTGCAAAAATGTATGTGCAAATATTTTTTTCAGCCAAGAGATGCAAAATAATTTTTGTATTATTGTTTAATGTAAAGACTAATTATATTAAGTTTCTAAATGATTGTTATGAACTGAATCGTGCCTGATTTTGAGCGTGTGAACCTGACGTCATGGTCACGGGATCCGTTATGGCGGGAAATAATGGCTGAATCTGTTTTTCGAAGTGATTCTTTGAAACAACTTTCGACTGAATCGATTCGTGAAAACGAATCAAAACTTCACCAGGGTTTATGAAAGTTGCATTAACAGAAATGAAGCCTGTTCTGTTCGGTAATCTGGTTTGCATAGAACTTTCAACTATTTTAACTGGAATGTTTCTGTTAATGTAAACTTAAATCAAATCTACAATTAAGATCATCAAGAAATGTTTGAGTAGTTTGCATCACTGGATATTACTTTCGGTCACTGAACGTTTTTATTGTAAAAGAGTTGTCCAATGTTACATTTTTAGCTACTTACATCGTACAATGCACTCTTTCACTGCTAAAACTTACGCATCTCATTGGAACAGTTAAGCCCCGCCCTCTTTGATTTTATTGGCCATCTTCATAATTTATTATGATGTCCATATGTCTTTGCCGAATTTAATGCCGAAAGTTGCTATATTATATAGTTCTCCTTAACAGTTTTAGGCACAGTGGCACTGTATGCTGGTGAGGCTCATAGTTTTATGAGGAGCTCAAGGTCACAGAAGGTGCCATCGAGGAACAACCCATTCTTTACCCTAATTACCCTCAGAATGACAGATAGTTGGCACAGTTCCCCTGTTGGGTCGAAACACAAGCAATCTGCCATTATGACCAGCGGTGGAGTTATCTTTCCCTAAGGATGACATCATGTCCACAAAAGCTGTATTGTGCTCCATCTGTAAAATAATGCAGAGCTGTTCATTCTCACTGCCAAAGGACTGCATTCCTGACCTTGGTTTGTATTCATGATCAACCTAATATGTGTTGAGGAATGGCTTGGCTTCAATAACACTGAAATTCCTGCTGAAGTTTCACACATTGTGTTTCCCAACCTTGCTCCTTGAGGCACACCAACAGTGCACATTTTGGATGTCTCCCTTTTCTGACCCATATATTTCTGGTCTTGGAGTCTCTACTAACGAGCTGATGAGTTGATTCAGGTGTGATCGATTAGGAAGAGTTGGAAAATGTGTAGTGTTGGTGTGCCTCCAGGAACAGGGTTGGGAAACACTGCATAGGCTACACCGTATGCAGGCAGAAAGCTTCTGAATGTTCAGCCGGAAAATGAAGTTTCTGTCATCACCTTCATATCGAACGGGGTACTCAAAGATAGATGTTTATTTATATTGTCCAATCAATCAAAGTCATCTGGGTCTAATGTTGTTTTAGATCCCGTTGCCTTTCATTGTATGGAAAAAAACCGTTAAGTCAACACAAAGTCACACAGTTTGGAATAAAGTGAGTAAAAGATGACAAAAGTTTAGTTTTCTGTGAACTACAGTATCCCTGTAAGCTAGTGAGATTACACTCCTGAGATCTTCTGTGATTCAGGTTTCACAGGAACTGTAGTATATAAAGACGAATCATCCTGCAGACGGACTGATTTGGGACAAATATTTCCATCTCCAGCTGTAAACACAATAATAGAGCAGTTGCCACGGAAACGACCCTTCTGTGATTGTATTGTGAGAGCGCAGCTGCTTTTCTAATTCTAATGTTTGTTTGATGCTCAAACTTCTCATCTCTGACAGTGTTTGTTCTCCTGCTGTGTCAGAGTCTGGCAAAGGCTGCTTCACTTCTGTTCATGGCTAGGGTTTTTAATCTGCCAGTTAAATGTGATTGAGTAGAATCTACCTGGACTCAAACACATTTCCACTAGACCTCTTTATATCACTCTGACCCAGCTTTAGCCCAGCTCAGAGAGTTTCAGTCGCGTTCTCCATATCTCTCTATATCACACTGACCCAGCTTTAGCCCAGCTCAGAGAGTTTCAGTCGCGTTCTCCATATCTCTCTATATCACACTGACCCAGCTTTAGCCCAGCTCAGAGAGTTTCAGTCGCGTTCTCCATATCTCTCTATATCACACTGACCCAGCTTTAGCCCAGCTCAGAGAGTTTCAGTCGCGTTCTCCATATCTCTCTATATCACACTGACCCAGCTTTAGCCCAGCTCAGAGAGTTTCAGTCGCGTTCTCATATCTCTCTATATCACTCTGACCCAGCTTTAGCCCAGCTCAGAGAGTTTCAGTCACGTTCTCCATATCTCTCTATAACACACTGACCCAGCTTTAGCCCAGCTCAGAGAGTTTCAGTCGCGTTCTCCATATCTCTCTATAACACACTGACCCAGCTTTAGCCCAGCTTAGAGAGTTTCAGTCGCGTTCTCCATATCTCTCTATATCACACTGACCCAGCTTTAGCCCAGCTCAGAGAGTTTCAGTCGCGTTCTCCATATCTCTCTATAACACACTGACCCAGCTTTAGCCCAGCTCAGAGAGTTTCAGTCGCGTTCTCCATATCTCTCTATATCACACTGACCCAGCTTTAGCCCAGCTCAGAGAGTTTCAGTCGCGTTCTCCATATCTCTCTATATCACACTGACCCAGCTTTAGCCCAGCTCAGAGAGTTTCAGTCGCGTTCTCCATATCTCTCTATATCACACTGACCCAGCTTTAGCCCAGCTCAGAGAGTTTCAGTCGCGTTCTCCATATCTCTCTATATCACACTGACCCAGCTTTAGCCCAGCTCAGAGAGTTTCAGTCACGTTCTCCATATCTCTCTATATCACACTGACCCAGCTTTAGCCCAGCTCAGAGAGTTTCAGTCGCGTTCTCCATATCTCTCTATATCACACTGACCCAGCTTTAGCCCAGCTCAGAGAGTTTCAGTCGCGTTCTCCATATCTCTCTATATCACACTGACCCAGCTTTAGCCCAGCTCAGAGAGTTTCAGTCGCGTTCTCCATATCTCTCTATATCACACTGACCCAGCTTTAGCCCAGCTTAGAGAGTTTCAGTCGCGTTCTCCATATCTCTCTATATCACACTGACCCAGCTTTAGCTCAGCTCAGAGAGTTTCAGTCGCGTTCTCCATATCTCTCTATATCACACTGACCCAGCTTTAGCCCAGCTCAGAGAGTTTCAGTCGCGTTCTCCATATCTCTCTATATCACACTGACCCAGCTTTAGCCCAGCTTAGAGAGTTTCAGTCGCGTTCTCCATATCTCTCTATATCACACTGACCCAGCTTTAGCCCAGCTCAGAGAGTTTCAGTCGCGTTCTCCATATCTCTCTATGTCACACTGACCCAGCTTTAGCCCAGCTCAGAGAGTTTCAGTCGCGTTCTCCATATCTCTCTATGTCACACTGACCCAGCTTTAGCCCAGCTCAGAGAGTTTCAGTCACGTTCTCCATATCTCTCTATATCACACTGACCCAGCTTTAGCCCAGCTCAGAGAGTTTCAGTCGCGTTCTCCATATCTCTCTATATCACACTGACCCAGCTTTAGCCCAGCTCAGAGAGTTTCAGTCGCGTTCTCCATATCTCTCTATATCACACTGACCCAGCTTTAGCCCAGCTCAGAGAGTTTCAGTCGCGTTCTCCATATCTCTCTATATCACACTGACCCAGCTTTAGCCCAGCTCAGAGAGTTTTAGTCGCGTTCTCCATATCTCTCTATATCACACTGACCCAGCTTTAGCCCAGCTCAGAGAGTTTCAGTCGCGTTCTCCATATCTCTCTATATCACACTGACCCAGCTTTAGCCCAGCTCAGAGAGTTTCAGTCGCGTTCTCCATATCTCTCTATATCACACTGACCCAGCTTTAGCCCAGCTCAGAGAGTTTCAGTCACGTTCTCCATATCTCTCTATATCACACTGACCCAGCTTTAGCCCAGCTCAGAGAGTTTCAGTCGCGTTCTCCATATCTCTCTATATCACACTGACCCAGCTTTAGCCCAGCTCAGAGAGTTTCAGTCGCGTTCTCCATTTCTCTCTATATCACTCTGACCCAGCTTTAGCCCAGCTCAGAGAGTTTCAGTCGTGTTCTCCATATCTCTCTATATCACACTGACCCAGCTTTAGCCCAGCTCAGAGAGTTTCAGTCGCGTTCTCCATTTCTCTCTATATCACACTGACCCAGCTTTAGCCCAGCTCAGAGAGTTTCAGTCGCGTTCTCTATATCTCTCTATATCACACTGACCCAGCTTTAGCCCAGCTCAGAGAGTTTCAGTCGCGTTCTCCATATCTCTCTATATCACACTGACCCAGCTTTAGCCCAGCTCAGAGAGTTTCAGTCGCGTTCTCCATATCTCTCTATATCACACTGACCCAGCTTTAGCCCAGCTCAGAGAGTTTCAGTCGCGTTCTCCATATCTCTCTATATCACACTGACCCAGCTTTAGCCCAGCTCAGAGAGTTTCAGTCGCGTTCTCCATATCTCTCTATATCACTCTGACCCAGCTTTAGCCCAGCTCAGAGAGTTTCAGTCGCGTTCTCCATATCTCTCTATATCACACTGACCCAGCTTTAGCCCAGCTCAGAGAGTTTCAGTCGCGTTCTCCATATCTCTCTATATCACACTGACCCAGCTTTAGCCCAGCTCAGAGAG